AGTATAACGCGCTTCCCGAGGCCACCCAGTGCGAGTGGCTCAGGTGTTCAGCATCGATGTGCCCTGTTTTCAGGTGAACGCGTTGGCCTGCGCTCAGGACGACTGTCAGCTGTTCGCGGCCACGAAGTCCATCGTCTACTGCTACGACATCCACAATGGCCAAATCGTGGACGTGCTCGACTGTCAGCTTCCGTTTGCCGTCTTCAACATCAAGGTGATCTTCTTTCAAGTGTAAATAGTCCTCACGAGCCATTCGCGTGGGAGGAGGCGTTCGGCCAAATATTGTTTCTTTCACCATTCCGTCCTCGAATAAGCTCTTCTTCAGATCTCATCCGACAATTTCTTCCTCTTCTCGGGGTGCGGTCCACGAGTGGATGTGTGGCACATCCAGAAGCGCGTTCACGACGCCCCAGACGCCTCCGGGCACATGGGATTCGTGACGGCCATCGCGCTGAGTGGGGACGACAAGGTATGTCTTCTACCCGGTCGCCTAGGGATAACATGATCGCAGCGGGCTATTTCAGATCGCCGCCTGTGGCACGTACGATGGCGTCGTGGCCGTCTGGGACCTCGACATCTGCCAGTGTTTGTCAACGGTACGTTCACGCAGGGTATTCTTCGTCTTTAGAGGAAAGCCTCGTTTGGGGCAAGCCAAGGCTTCCCCCGATGTGGCCTTCAACTTTCGTTTCCCGTCGTGCTTTTTTCAGTCTTTTATTCAGGTTCCACAAAGCAAGGGTATCCCGGTGTCCTGTCTGGCATTCTCCTTCAACCAGACGTTTCTGCTCAGTGGCAACACAATCGGCAGCGTCAGCGTGTTCGACTGTTCCTCGGGCACCTTGCACCGAACATTCAGTGTACGTCAGCATTACTGCGATTGCGACCCTCCCGGGAGGGCGAATCTCCACAGACGAAATCTGTGGACGGTCGCTGTCACCTGTGATCCCGTATGACTTTTGGAACAGCCTTGTTACTCGGGTGTGTCATTACATCTGAAAAGCAAACCCGAGTGCAAAACGCGTCACTCGCGCGCCAGCGAGGTACTGAAACGCACGGCGGCGATTCTGCGGTTTGCGCTCTTGGAAAAGGAAAACTAATCTCCCTTATCCCTCCTTTAGAGATACAAGGGCGGGATATCGTTTATTCCCAAAAGGTTTAATGGAAGCCATCGGAAAAGGATGGGAATGAGCAGTATGATCATTAAATGTTCCATTCGTAATAGAGACGCGCGTCGAGTGCAGACAACACACCACAAGTGACGACGGCCTCTGAGTATATCTTGTCACTGGCGGTTCATAATGATAGCTGATAGTAGGTAAACGATAACTGTAATTAATGACAACTGATAGAATACAACTCCCCGGCTACTTATTTCAATGCGGAGAACAATTTACATTTTGTCGTCACTTGTGGTGTGTGGTCTGCACTCGACGCGCATCTGGTTTTCGGAAGCAGAAGATACATCAGAATCATCTATGAACTTCATAGAGTAGAGAAATGATTGTTTCCAGCTGCACTCCACGGAGATCGTGTCGATTTGTCCGCTGGAGAACTACCGGGTGTTCAGTTGCGACAAGGAGGGCAAACTCTGTCAGTGGGAGATTTTCGGCGACGAGGAGAGCATGGTGAGAACTTTTGTCCACTGTTCACTAAGACGGATCAGTGCGCTAGCAAATGGAATCCCGGAAACTGTTTCTGTGGAAATAACGTTGGTCGCCGCTTGCAAGATGGTCGCGTACGCGCTTAGCTTCGGCCCAGAATCAGTCAAAGGAATGTTTTACACCTTCTCGATCTTTCAGTGTCGTCAGTATTTTTTGAACAGGCCGTCCTGCGCCACGAAAAAGGACATTCTATCCATTGATTGACAAAAGATGGAGTTGGAGGGGGGTATTTTAACCCTTTGACGACCGCCGTTATGAATGCGTCACTTCACTTCTTTCTAAATTTTTTCATCAATAATCATTAACTCTCCAACAATTTCACTATTAGTAATTAGCGCATTATTCCGCGAATTCGATGATGTATTTGTGTAGTTTTGAAACATAAAAATGCCAAAATAAACCCCTAAAAACGTGTCGCCACCGAGCGAAAGTGTGGCCCACCGGCGGGCCACACGGTCGTCAAAGGGTTAATGTGTGATAAGGAGCGCTAAAGAAGCTCACACATCTTACCCAAACCCCATCCAGTTTCTTGCTCTTGGCCAATGGTTCTCTCACCCTGGATATCCACGCTCTTATCCTCATCCTTACCGAAGTGGAACACAATGGAGTGGCCCCTCCAACTCTATTTTCACCGCAGCATATGAAACAAAGAACAAAATACGTAAAGATGCTGACTGAAAATTAGGGGATTTGGAGGTGCTTGCCTTGGAAATCGCGAGAGAGACACGCTCGCAGGCTAAAGCTGGGCAGCTGAATGGTCTAGACCACGAATATTGCATTTCTCTTAACCTACTGGTTATTTTCAGGTGATGATGACTCAGGGAGTTGCGCCGCCGATTTTCGCGCCACCCAACGGCAAACTGGTGGTTGGCCACTGTCCGAAGAATTCCAAAGAGTAGGAACTTCCCAGATCGTCTCTGATGAAGAGAGAGAACAGAATGTTTGCATTTGCAGAATGAAAGTGTGGACTGTCGGAGAGGAAGGACCGGTGCTGAAGAACAAGCTGTCGCACAACGAGGAGATCACCTGCTTTGCTGCGATCGCGCTGGGGACGCTCGTTGCCACTGGTCCGCTCAGACTTCTATATTTTTAGACTGAAGATAGGTCCCATGGCAAAACATGCTCATTTCACTATTCAGGCTCGAGCGACCAATCGTGCAAGCTGTGGCAAATCGATTCCGGCTATCTCACACAGGTAACTTTTTCTGGCAGTATTCAACCCAAAGATAGGATTTGCTATCATCGAACACTTTGAGGTACTTGTCGGCCACGAAGGAAGGGTGACCTGTGTGGCGCTGGCGGACGACGAACGCCTCGTCATTTCCGGAGCTGAGGACAAAAAGGTTCGTTGTTGTGAGTAGGTGTAATTCCGTGCAGAAAACGGAGACGTGGCGCATCCGCGTTAGACA